TATCAATTAAATTTTAAAGTAATATTATTAGTGCATTTACAATATATAATATTAAATATAAGTAATTCAATTTTATTTTTAAGGCTAATAATAGTTCATAATATAATCTGAAAATTCCTTTTTTAATTCATATTAGATACAAAAACAGATTCATTTGAAGAGCTGTTATTGCAAAATATTTCTTATGCTGTATATTATCAACCTTCTATTTTGATTTTGGATAATATTGATTTTATAACTAATACAAAAGGAAATGAAGAGGAATCTGGACAAGATTCTATGAATGCTACAAGGTGAAAAATTAATATAACATTTGCGTTTTTCTTTACAAAAATATAAATATATATATGTATGCCAATGAAATTTTGATAAAAAATAATAACACGGTAGTAAAAGAAATTATATTTCATTTTCATGGTCTTTATTAGCAATGATTAACAACACGGATGATAAAGATGTATTACTTTTTTCTAAAATATTTATTTATTTAATATATATTCTAGAAAATAATTTAATATTTTTATTATTACAAATTAAAATAATATGATTCTTTATCAAGAATATACCAGATATAGAAATAATTTATTTTGTATTTTAATCTAATACATTGTAATTGATATTACAATTAAAGTATATAAAGGACAAAATTGAGCACAAGTTTAGAAAATGAAATTGTATTATTTCATAATAAAAATTTTTGTTTTTACACTTTTATTAATTATGATTAAATTTTTATTAAAATTTTATTAGCATGTATAATATTTCATGAAAATTAGAATTTATAGGAATCAAGGAAGAATAGTAGCAGTTTTACTGTGTTATTTACAATTAGTATTTTATAAATAAAAACAATGATTATTTTGGAAACTTCGTATACATATATTGAATTAAATTATTATATTGCTACTGGAATAGAATTTTGTATGTAATATATACAATTGTATTAGTAATATGAAGTTATAGGGTAATATCAGTGATTTAGTATACATGTCTGATTACACTGTGCAATTATTTTATCGTGATAATTAAAATAAAGATTTTCATAGATATCGATAACTTGATTGGGCTGAGAGAGATTTCAGCTACTTTTCCTGATTGACTAAGTCGGGTATCTTTATCGACTTTTGCTCGTGACGTAACAATACTATATAATATTATAAATTTTTAATATTTCAGAATAACAAGTGCAATTTACAATATAATTAGTGTGTGTCAAGCTCAAAATTATATATCGGTTATTGCCACTTGTACGAATATTTCTACAGTCGGTAAGAAATTACGAGAAACCCGAGGTTTTAATTTTTTTCGTACGACTTTGACGATTGAGAATTTAACAAAGGTAATGTCAATGCTACTTTTTAAAAATTAGTTTTCAATTAAATTGAACAATGAATTATTTAATTTTTAGTTACCTTTAAATTTAACGTCAGATAACCTTACACAATAATTACACTCTCAAAAATTAACAAAACTATTAATTCACTAAAGGTTACTTTAAGTTAATTTTATTCAATATGAATTTTTTTTTTATAATAGGAGGATAAAATAAAAATTCTACAATCGCATATTGAAGATAAATTGGATATTGCGAAGGATATCGATTGGGCATATTGTGGGAACAAAACAGAGGGTTGGGTCACACAAGATCTTGTCAACTTAGCGAAGAAAGCTGTTTTCGCTGCATCGAAACGACACGGTATATTTTTTTTTATTTTATTTTTTATAAATTTTCTATTCCATAAGGCTTATTTTATGGGTTTATTTTAAAAACTTAATTATTTAATAACAAAAAAATGTATGTTTACGTGCGATTAATGTCACGTATAAATTTGCCATGTCAATTGAATTAATTTGAAATATGAAGTAAAATTAATAGAAATATATTGGTGTTTTATAATGAGCATTCATAATGAGTGTATCTTGTAGATATTTATTTTGCTTATTTGAATACAGAATTATTGAGAAGAATATTTGCTTGACATTTTTTTTTTTTTTTTTTTTTTTTTTTTTTTTTTTTTTTTTTTTTTTTTTCATTGCATCGAGACAAACAAAGTTCTGTCTTTGAATACAAAATGTGTTGAAGTTTTGTACTTATTTTCCGTAATTAGTATTAAACTAAATATGCAATTAATAATTGACGTTCATTATATTTACTTTCATTATTTTACAATTAGTTGTAAACATTTTGGTTTTTGCAATAATTATTACACAGCCTTTTTTAATATAACTTTAAATATATTACAATAACATGTTGGACCAATAATTTGAAATTTTGCATATAATTACATAAATTACGAAGGTATCATCTAACTTATATACGCTATGAAACTCTATTAAAGTATAACATTTAGTCAAATGACAATCTTCGAATTATGTTATTTCAATTATTTTATTTGTTTCGAGGAGTTAATTAAAAAATTCCTATCTCGTATTCAATTAACAAGCAATCGACAACCAGATTTTATTTTTGATCGCGACAAAGACGGGCCGTAATTCCAGTTGTTTTTATAAAAAGAAAAAAAAATCTGCCTATCAAATATAATTTATATCAACGAAACGATTGACAGTGAAGGATCGGTGCAAAGGTCAAGTAACACTGAAGAATTTTGAACTTCAGGATTGTTTAGTCCGCTGTAAGCCAAACTCTGTTCTCGGAGTGAAACTATATCATGGCTCGGGATACGGATTCTCCCAGGTCGGAGGCCTCGCAGAGGTCAAACACGATCTCATTGAGATCTTGCATTGGCCATTGAAGTATTCTAGCATTTTTAGCCGAGCGCCCATCAAATTACCGAATGGTATATTACTGTATGGGATGCCAGGCACTGGGAAAACTAAGTTGGCAGGTGCCTTAGCCCACGAATTTAATATGAATATGATAAGCATTAAAGTAAGTGGGATATAGGTTTTATTTTTGTTTATTTAAAAACCTCCATGCATTTACGTAAAAGCAAATTAATAATTTCACAAGCAATGATTCATTATAAATAATTTTCCAAGTATCATTGTTATGTGATAAATCAAAAATATATTTATATTATTTATAATGACTATAGTGAAGTTAATGTATACTTTTGATAATCTAAATTGTAAATAAATGAACAAAGTGAATTTTAATCTATTAACAATAGGTTATTTAAAACGGCCATGAAAGTAAATTAAATTTTGCGTATTAGGTAGGAATTTTATAAAATTTGAAAATTTGCATTTTTACATACTGTTTCTTCATTTGCATACATTTTACATGTTTATAAAATTTCATCTGATACATTCGAAATGTATTTTGATTTTAATATAATCGACCAATTTGATTGTTGTATTTAAAATCTTACATTATTTTTAACTTAAAATATAACACCCATTTAATTTTAAATCTAACAATAAATACAATTGTAAATAATTTATTTTTTTTTTTAAAGGGTCCTGAATTAATGTCAAAGTATATAGGTAGGAGCGAGGAAGCTGTACGCAAAGTATTCAAAAAGTATGTTGAATTTGATTAAATGCAAATTATTGCTTAACAAGTAAAATGTAAAGCTACCTTATTGTAATCTTATTAAATTATAATACATAATAAATAATTTGTTTTTATATACATGTAGTTCGTATATGTTGCAGAGCAAACCGAACAAAACCATCTATTTTATTTTTTGATGAATTTGAAAGTCTTGCACCAAGGTATTTTTTATTCATAAATTTTTGTTATAAATTTATTTATATATGTCATATCCTTGATCAATAATATTATATAATAACTCAAAAATTTTAATTATTTATTGGAATATAAGATTATATATAGATTTATAAGATTGCCAAATTGTTTCATCACAAAACCTACTATCGCTAATAATAGATAAAAATCATAATTTGTATATATATATATATATATATATATATATATATATATATATATATATATATAATCAATTTCTATATTAATTTTCTTAAATTAGAATAGAGTTATAAAAAAATCCCTGATAAAATATTTTTAAAAATTAAAAAATATGTATTTATTAAATATAGATTTTTATTTTGTTAAAAATATTGTTTCGTTACAAATTTCATGATATAGTTAAAATCGAATAAATGCCCACACATAATCGAATCATTCGCGACTATGATGTATTGACTAACGAGCATTTTTAATTGTCGAATCAAAATAGACGAGGGCATGATCATACTGGGGTGACCGATCGGGTGGTAAATCAGTTGCTAACCCTCCTGGACGGGATTGAGGAGAGGGAAGGGATGATTGTTGTTGCGGCCTCCTCGCGCCCCGATCTTCTTGATCCTGCACTTTTGAGACCAGGTCGTCTTGATAAATCGCTATACTGTCCGTTACCGAATGAGGTAATCAGCAAAAAACCATTATAACAATCATTTTTTCAAATTCATTTCTATCTGAAAACATTGTAGTAACTATAATTTTATAGATTTTATTAATTTATTAGCGTTGAACTTCTAAAGACCAAATATATATATATGTATATACTGCTAAGTGAGATCTATTATAAATATTTTAGATTAATTTAATTCATTTAACATTTCAATATCGATAGAATATTTTTTAATTTCTATAATAATAATATTACTATTTTCAAGAGAAAAATAATAAATAGATAAAATAGAAATATAAAATAACGATACTTTCTACTTTTAAAATTTAGTAAATTCAAAACGTTTATAAGTAGAGAATTTTATAATTTCAGAATGAAAGAGAAGAAATTTTAAGTGCAATTTGCCAAGCACATGAAATTCATACACAAGATTTAGATTTGAAATCACTTGCTTGTTTAACTTCTGGCTTTACTGGTGCTGATTTAAACGCTGCTCTAATACAAGCTTGGCTTAATGTAATCGATAAAGCCTTAGAAATATCTTCGGTAAATTCGGTAAAATTTGTCTTCTTTATTTAATATAAAATAATTACAATTATGGTGCTTTTAATTTTATTTAGGAACATGTTAGCAGTTATTGTGAAAAAAAGATTTCACAAAAACAACTGATCGATTCAATCAATTCAACACAACCATCATTATCATCCGCGGAAGTAGAAAAATATAAAAGAATGTAAGTGTTTTATTGTAATTTTATTATGAAAATAATTGTCTATAATTTATTTGTAAACGAATCGTATGTGCAATTCTATTTTTTTCAGATATGCGAAGTTTACGAGAAATAATAATTATCCACATGATGGATTCAAGAATCCAAGGTCAACATTAGCATAAACCAATATACATACACGTATTATAGACATTAACAATTTTTATTTAATTTAACAAACGCCATTATAAGTGTAAAAGTTAAAAATATTGTTAATAAATATTATTTTAGATATCATTATGTAATTTATATAAGAAACAATATATTTACCTGAATTTTTAATTATAATACTGTAATTTTCTTATTAGTTTATATCCTTTGAATTAATAGTTATTATTTGAATGAAATTTCTTAATAATAATTGTTAGAATAATTCTTTAAGGTGTTGTATGTTTTTCTGATTAAAAATGACTTTTTTAATCGAATATACACTTTAAGCGTTGCATATTAAAAAGAAAAACCTTATACCTCATATATTCAAGATAATAAATTTCAAAATACGAACATAATATCTTTTATAGTTAAAAATTCAAAAATCTCAGCAGATTGATTAAAAATACAGTATGTTTAAAAGAAATCTGATAATATTTAAATTCTTATTCGGACTATATATAATTAATTAATAATAGAAGTACTGCTTAACAATTGGACCGTATAAATATAAAGGCTTGTTTATTTATCTGTAAGCATAAGACGTGGCATTTCGAGTGTATGTTAATATATTAATATAAGGTATAAGATACATAATACATAAAACTCCGACATTGTAATATTATCAAGTGCAAAAATCAAAGATGTTATAAGCGAGTGAGCTGTTTAACAAGTATAATAAACTTTAAGCGACTATAGGTGAGACGAGCATCATGGCTGAAACATCGCTACTCGAGATTCTAGTTATATGTATAATGTAACTAAGGAAACGCAGGGCTAGAGGTAGGTTTATTAGTGTACGCCAATCTACCCCGTTTCGCTCCACTTCATTTTACCATACACCTCGCTGAACGTCGAGGGGTTTATTATCTTATGAGTTATAATGGATCCGAAACAGAGAGAGAGAGAGAGACAGAGAGAGAATATGTGTGTGTGTGTGTGTGTGTGTGTGTGTGTGTGCGCGCGCGCGTGTGTGTGTTTGTAAGAGCGAGTGAATGGCGTCTGGTTGGGAGGGGGGGGGGGGGACATGGGGGGAACGTACACTTACATTATGGACTTCGTTTATGAAGCGACGGCTCATTAGCTTCATTTTTACTTATTATAGCTGTTAATGCGTTAAAATCATTTTAAATCATATAAGTTAATGAAGGGGCCTTTAGCATCATCTGAGTTTTCTTTTTTCTAATGAAATAAATTATTTTTGTAATAGAGTATTAATGTCAATAAAGGATAATAGCTTTTAAATTCTCTGGAAAGCTATTATTTTTAACAAAGCTAAAGTAATTCAATTTTATATTATTCATTTTTAATTAAATATATTACAAATTCTAAATGTATTTATATGTACTTATGCATTTTTCGCAATAATTTGAATAATAACATAAGTTTTCGATAAAAGGTAGCCTCGTTAGTTGGACGTATTTGTTGACTTTTGATTATGCATTATTAATTAATAATATTTTAATTCGATATTTTTTAAATTAAATTACATATACACATTGTTGAAATTTTATTGACATAATTTTAAATGATGGTATTGTCATGTGAATTCTTCTACATAATTTACTAATTATTTATCAATATTTCTTTTATCGTCTCATTTTTTGCCGTTTATTATTTACTCGAATCATAAATTTAGAATGAGCTTTGAGAAATACCTAGAGGTATAATTTCCATTATTTGGGAATCATATTAAAATTGGCATATTTACATAAATAATTGAATATCTAGAAGAATTAACAATTTAGATAAGAGAACTGTAGTATATTATTATAACAAAATTTTTTGACATCTTTTCGTTATAAATCACGTATTTATAAATGTTTCAACTTCATCGAATCTTTATGTGGATAGAAATACTGTAGTTTGCATAAGTGAAAATAAACATGTTTTGGATTTGAACTTATAGAGGAAGGCTTTATATATTGTACGTTCAAAATCGATAAAAGCGTAAGATGCCAGGTAAAATATACATAAAAATATATTGTAAATGTATTCTTAAAAAATGTTATTTACAGTAGATGAGCAGATGAGCAACAGCATATATGTCTTTCATTTTATTTGGATAATAGTCCGTATATATAAGAGTGATTATAATAGAAATAATTAAACTTTAGGTATTAAGTAAGGTTAATTCAAAAGCATAATTTTAAGGTAAAATGATTTTATAAGTCACTTTAATTTAAATAGGAAATACGTTTTTAAAATTTATTATCTCTGGTAAAAAAAAAAAAAAAAAAAATCCCAAAGTATCTACGTAAGTATGTGTAAGTCTATTTGAAAGTGTAGAAAATTACGTATAACCATTTGAAAAATCAAAATAGCTTTACATTAATTACCCAGTATAATACAATTTAATACCGTATATGCATAGTAAGTATGTGTGTATATATATATATATATATATATATATATATATATTTCATTTGAAACGAATACTCTAAGTGTTATAACATTTTTTATTTTATAAGATTTTAAATTATTTTGAAAATAATTGACAATATTAGTTAGAGATAAGAATAATTGCCTATACAGGACCGTATATTTATAATTAGGATATTACTATAGTTAGTAGAACAATATTTTTTAGATCCAATTATAAAAATTGTTTTTTTTTTTTTTTTTTTTTTTTTTAATAATTTTGAATGTTTTTTTTTAATAATTTTGAATGATTTTTTTTTAATTTTTAATAATAACAACGTAGATATGTTGTATTTGAAACAAATAAAAAGTCATTAACTTTTAAAAAATCGGTTTTCTACACAATGAACAAAATGTAAAGTGTGCGATAAGAAATTAAGTACAGAGTGTTTAATTATCACACGTTGTTTCAATAACTTAGATTCATAAAGCAAATGTCACGAAATAATACGAAATATGTAAGTAATAGGAAAATTTTTAAGTTCATTTTAAGTTAAATAATCACTCGTAGTATAATTTCTTATTACTCCATGTTGTTGGTTTATTGTATTATTAAAAATCATTCATTTATTGTTAAACATTTCTTTTTTTTTTGAATTATTAATAATTTATCTTAAAATAAATTTAATTAACAAGATGAATATATTAATTGTACATGGCTTTGATTAATTCATCTATCTGAAAAATATAAAAAGTATTTTTTTAACAAAAGTATTTATTTGAAAAATTTTGTAGCCTTTAAGATCTTATGCCGCCTTGTAACTTCAATAATTTAGTCATTTCATTATTTTTTTCCCTTTTCCATTTATTATGCTTAGTTCTACCAATTAATTTATTATTTTAAATAACTTATTTAAATAACTTATAAAAAAAAAACTCAATTTTCTATCTTTCTTTTTTGTTGTTTTTGTTTTCTTTACTTCTTCTGAAAATCGCAATACTATCACTATGACTATTTTACTTATTTTAATGTTACATAATAACATGTTATTATTTCGAACGAAGCACATCTTTCCTTCACCATTTTATTTAATACAATATATATATATATATATATTTTATTACATTTACCCATTTGTCATTGTGGCTCTGGTGCATTGTTTTTTCATTTTTTTTATAAAATATTTTCATAGTGTATTTTATTAAGAGACTTATGCATTATTATTATCTGTGTTAATATCACCGTTATTATTATCATCGATTAAAACTATTTAATTTCTAATTTGATTAATATTTAATTTCATATACTTTTTAAAACTTTTTATTTTAGTTTTAGAGTATTGCAATGCATTTTTATTGTCAATCATTCTTTTTTATCATTCATTTTCAATATCTTATAATAAAGGTATGTCTTGATTTTTATTAAAGTACCATTTTACGCTCTCTGATATGTTTTTATTAGTTCAGTTAGTACTCATATTAATGTATTCTCTTTCTTCATATTTATATCTACAATCTCATAGTTCAACAACTTTTTCAATTAAAATTCTAAGAAGTATTTATTATGTCTATTATAATTTGATTATTCTAGTGATTAGATTTTTGTTAATTTTACTGTATAAAATAGTTTAAAATTTGCCTGAGCTTTTAAATTCTAAAAAGTCAATTTTATGTACATAGTTTTTTTACTATTTTGTTCCAGTTTTTCGTCATCAAATTTTAAAATCTATACTTTCACCTTGTACATTCTGCAAAGAAATTTTTCAGTAGTCATTCTATTCATTCCACATAAATTTCATTCTAACGAGGGCAATAAAACACTATGGCGTTCATCATTATCATGAAATAATTACATTCCTCTTAAAAAATTGTCTTTTGAAAACGGTGCGAATTCATATGAATGGGACGTGCTTTCCAAAAAAAAAAAAAAAAAAAAAAAAAAAAACAAAAAAAAAAAGAAGGTATAAGCGTAAGCTGGGAAGGAGAGTATAGCGATAGAATATGTTGAAAGTTGGGCCGGTAGATAAAGATAAAGAGAAGCGAGTGAGAGGCGATGTATGCGCATGCTTGGCGTTACGCGTGCGAGCGCGGCATGAAGTTTTCGAATTAATAATCGGTATAATAATTAGTATTTTCACGAGCGACTTAGCAGGAAGGATGCCGTGTCCTTAGCTGCGTCTTCGCTAAGGCAACTTCAAGGATCTTGATTTTAAGTTCGGGTGTACGCGACGGTGAGCATATTTCAGCGCGCTAATGTCCCGACAGATAAACTACAATATTAGCTGCCTGCGCTGTGATTTAATTTAACTTTGCCCCGGCGACATCTACCTCTCGCACTCCCTCGCGATTTACACCCAAGCAATCTCGAGTTCCTACATTCGATTCTCGCTCCTTTGCTTTGCTTAGCTTTTAAACCTGGTTTTTAATCATGGACGAATCTCTTTTCGTTATCATCTTCTTATTCGTCTTTATATTTTTCTTAAAAATTTTTCTTAAAAGGACTTCTTATTGTCCAAATTGATTATTGTTAATTAATTTATTCCAAAATTTAATTAACGTATTGGTATTTTAAGTTTTTAAACATTATACATATATAAATATGTAAGTATAAGTTTTCTAAATTTACATGTAATACTTCGTAGATTTAATATCTACATATATAATATC